GTACTTGATAAGAAGAAAAATGATCTATTAATGCAAGTATATAAATTCTAACTTGATATTGCTATATTTTAGTTCATCTTTACCTTAAAAATAAACTTAGTCTACTGATTTGAATCAAGAGAACTGTACTTGTCTTTTATATCCGATATTAACTACTACAGCTTCATCAGCTACTGTCCAAATTCACAATGCAGGAGGTATTAACTTTTTATAATAAATACTCTTTCTTCAGGGCATTCCATTTTTACAGCATTAGCACAGGGACAGTCCCTATTCTCTCATGACTGGGAACACACAGTGCCAGAAGTACCCTAAACAGTAAGTCGATCAATCCCACTGCAGGATGATACTTCCTTAAGGTCATGCAGTTCACAGAGCCCAAAGACCCTAAGATACACCACGTAACTAAACCTGTCTCATACATTGGAATGGCTACAAGAAAGGCTAGCGAAAAACCAACAATTACTTAGGAAGATGGAGAAAATGAGTGCTGACGCAGGTAACTCACAGAACCTACCACACTGCCCATGTAACAACTAGAACTGCAAACTCTGAAACTGTCTTAATGGCAATCCTAACTCAGCAGCAGATTAATTCCCAATCCTGTCACTGTATTCCTTCCATCTAACTCTTATTCTAGACATTGTAACAGCTATAAAATTAAAATCTCTATCACAGTAGGCTTCTATTTTTTTCATGAGTTAAGATAATTTCCCAATTCTGGTTTATCAATGAGTGTACAATCTTTCACACTTTAATCCAAAATCTCAATTTTCAGACATACAAATTCAAAGTATCATAAAAATGTGGGTACCCATGACTTAGCAATGTAAATAAATCCTGATGCTTGATTTTGAAATAATATCCTACCCTTGGCTGTGTTATTTATAGCAAGTTAGTGACTATTCTGTGACCTAGTTTTATCTTGAAAGTAAAAATAATAATAGTATCTATCATACAGGATTGCTGAGATAATTAAATGAGTTAATATAAAAAGTATCTGGAATAACATATGGAGAATTTCCACAGACTCTATGAAAAGCTAAGTGGGCCAGCCAGACAGCTGGATCTCACATGGCCAGTGGTGCAGTTCAAGTCCCAGACCCAGAAGCTTGAAAAACATTCTGCTCACATATGCACGCATGCCCAAAAACCTGAGAGGAGGAATTCAAGATTCAAGGGAAAAACAGTGAAATCATGTGTATTTCCAAAAACTGTAGCCAAAGAGTGGTACAATATGACTTGACATATGGGCCTTATAATACCAGTAAGAATAATTCTCACAGTTCCCTTATTGGAGGAGATCTCAGGAAGAAAACACTGCTCTCATTATTTATATCTCCAGACTTTACTCATCCATTGGTAACTTCCATTTACAAAGGCAAACACTAAGAAAATAAATACTTAAGTGTGTTATATAGAAAAGCTATATATTGGGATCTGCAGATGGCATAATGGTTACGTCACTGTACTCCCTAGTTGACTGCAGTCTGGGTCCTGGACCCTCCCAGATTAAAACTCAGATGGGACACGTGTGCATGCAAGCCCAAGATCCCAAGAAGAGATGGAGGCAAAGGGAGTGCAGCATGACCATGCCCCCTAGGGGATGGGGTGATTTCTCTCTTTCTATCTCCCTGTCTCTCTCAATCACTCTGGTGAGCTCACATACCCCTATAGCAAAAACCTCTCTTTAATAAATAAATAAATAAATAAATAAATAAATAAAAATAAAAGATGTGTATCTATAAATTCATATCTACTTCCAAGGGTTTAGCAATAGAATCATTTATAAAATCTAAATTAATAATAAAAGTTTCTGTTGGCCCTAGAGCAAAAGAGTTTATTCAAATTTTTCTATAAAGTATTCTTATATTTTTATATTTTAAAACAGTAATGCTAATTTCACTAAGCAGGGGCTATCTTGCATGGATAAATTTTCATAATAGTTCAATATTGGTGAAAACAGTTTAACCTATTACAGAACGTTTTAAAAAGGAAAAGAAAAGCATGTTGCACTGCAAGAGAGAGTATGAGTTCCAGTATAATCTCAAAAAGAAGAAAACAAAAAAAAGCTAGAGGACCAGTAGGTGGCATAGTGGTTAAGGTACTAGATTCCCACATGGCCTATCACAGTTGAATTCCAGAACTAGCAGCTTGAAAATCATGCTGGATATGTGTGTGTGTGAGTGCCCAAAATCCCATGAGAGGGGATGGTGGCGTGTCCATCACCTAGAAGGTGATTTTTCACTTTCCCTCTCACTGTCTCTGTCTCCCTCTGGCAAGGGCATGTGTCCTATAGCAAAAGCCTTTAAAAAAAAAAAAGTAGAAGGATAATCCTACCATCTACTTCCAGAACCTGAAGATTATAAATAAAAGATTCAGATAAATCACATAATACTTGGGACACTACATATACCCACTCTAAGGTATGATATATTCCATACTATTACATATTGTTATATTAAAAGAAAAAAACACAATTTTCAATGAGTGATCCAAGAAAATCAACCATGAGAAACACTGAGTTCCCACAGATTATTGCAGAGGCTCCTCCAGGGAACTTCTAGGTGACAAGATGAAAATGATCGCTGTATTCAGTGAATATAAAATAAGCCAAAGAGTGACACAGTCCTCTACTATACTGGAGGGGAAAATATCACTGAAAACCACTGTTTTAACAGAACAAGAATTTGTGGAAACTCTAGACCACTAAGGAATAGCTAGAAGCAAAAAAAAAAAAAAAACCAGATTCCTGCTTCCATGTCTCTTATTTTTTGAATGGCTTTACAGTCTGTGTACTTATAACTCAGATGGAAATACCTGTGGAGATTACTTTCTGTGACTAAGAACCTCTCCTACAGAGAGCTCCACATTGTATGATGCTAGGCCGACCACAGAGACTTAATGCCACAGAATACATTTTGTATTTTAAATGCATTTGCACAGAAGTTTTTATAGTACATAATTTTATCTCCCAATTGCCCAATTCAAAGGAAACTTGCTACTGTAAATAAGGATCTAATATTCAACTGGACAAAGTAGGATTATTCTCTGTGAACTACATAACCATGTTTTCTGTGTTTTGCTAATAAGTTAAAAAGCCAGGAATCAATTTCATTATAAGTTAATTAACCTAAATAGTTCGTGAGCTATGCAAATATACAAAGTCTACAGCTCCATCTGCAAATATATTTTAAAAATCGTAAAAAATCTGAAGTTGCAAGAATGTCAAAGTTTTATTTTCTAAATGAAAACAGAAACTTTGAGGAGAGAAAATATGTTTTCCTGTGTTCGAGTAATTAACTTCCAAATACAAGTGAATAATAAGGACTATAACTTTCTAAGAAGAAAATAGCAAGACATCAATGACAACTTGGGGTTTATTTGACAATTCAGTACAGCACAAATATATATAAAACAATCATTATCATATAAAATGTAATATTAGTCTTACTACACTGTATATTCATAAGTGGAAACATGAAGGGATAAACTGCACTGATTTTCCAAAGTTTATAGAAGAAGACTACTCAAATTCCAAAGGAAGGAAAAACTAGAATTAACAAAATGCTAATTTAAAAAATACTCATTTTAGGGCCAGCCATTGCTATAGCTATAGTTAAGATGGCTAGATCCCACACGGCTGCCTGCACGGCTGAAGTCTCAACCTGCAGCTTGAAAAACACACTGGGCAACACACTGGGCACATGTGCATGTGTGCTCAAAATCTGAAGAAGAGAACAGAGGCGAAGAGACTGTGATATGGTCATCCCCTGTGAATCTCTCTGGTGAGCATACACATTCTGTAACAAATTTAAAAAAAGAAAACTCATTTTATTCTAGAATTATACAAAATATGTGTACAATAATAGTGCTTCACTGTTCATAACAGAAGAAGCTGGCCAAAGCCACACTACAAAATATTAACAAACTGTTCAAAAGAATGAGATATAGGTACAAAAAGTCCGATGGAGAGTGATACAGATTATTAAGTGGAAAAAGTTGAATAGTATTGCATTTTATATGATTCAGTTTTTCAAACCAATCAAACATACCTTTGTAGGTGCACAAAACATATTTGTAAGGATATAAAAAATTTTAAGTGTTTACTGTTTTGGAGTAGGACTGAGAAGAGTTTTGAGGGAGGATTTTTGTGTTTGTTTTAGTTTTGTTATAGGGCACGAGTGCTTGCAGGAGACAGACAGGGACAGATAGAGGGAAAGTGAGAAAGCATCATCCCAAGCGCTACAAATTCCTTCTCCTTCACTCTCTTCTTGGGATTTGGCACACAGGTATGTGCCCAGAATGTTTCTAAAGCCTCCCATATGTCAAGATCACAGGGTAGACTATGTGGGCTCCAAAACCTTCACCACCATGCCACCTGCTGGCCCAAGAGTTTTATTTTTAAAAACAACAAACATGTATTATTTTAAAATAAACCATCCTTGCAACTTGTATCATTCCTGATTACACAGAACTTTCGGAGTGTTTTAAGATAAATTTTATACTCCTATTTTGGAAGCATAACATCCTTAAAATTCTTCTTTTTAAATTTTTTTTTTAATTTAACCCTAAGAGAAATTCCTAAGAGAAAAGAAAAATAAGAAACAAAGCTGCGAGGTCCAAGACTCGAACCACAGTCAGCCATGTGGGAGTCTAGCACCCTAACCAGCACACCACCTACCGGCCTCATCCTTAAAATTCCTATCTCCCCATGAAAGGCACCTGTGGCCTAAGTTTGGCAAATTTCCATTTAATTCATGTTCTGAATTTTTCCCTCTCTGACCTATAACTTTCAAATTCAGTAGAATTTATTCTGTATAAGCTGGTTGGCAATTCAGCTGATAAATTAACTGAAATTTAAAATACAAAATAGTAAATCAGTTTAAAAACAAGTGCTATTCACAATGGTTATCTCTTTTAACTCACTTCCTCACTCTTCAAACACTGCATTCCTCAAAAGGTTAAGAGAAAATGTAAACATATGTAAGTATTCTCACGTGTTCTATAGCACCCGCCTGTCCGTCACTATATTCTCGGTATCGTCCAAGCATCTGGTCCACTTGTCGCAGGTTCCGACTAGTATCCTTAAAAGAGAAAATGGACTCTACTAATTGCTTCAATGCTGTTTTTCCCAATCAGTTGTAATCTATGCCAAACAGCTAAGTCAACAGTTTGTAAAAGTTACAGTTTATATCATAATTAAATTGGATACAAAGTACTTCATAAATATCAAATCTTAACACCACTGAGAGAGAAACCCAAATCCATCCTTAATCTACTTGTGTGGAATCCAAAGCATATCATTTAAATCCTTATTCAAGGTTCCAGAGTAAATTAGCCACAAAACTATAAACTGTAAACAATGCTCACGATCAATTTGTGCACCTCTACTAATTCATACCATCTGTATAAGAAATCCTAATAATAAATGTACAGATTATATATGAGAAATAAATCATTAGAATCAATGTTATTTCAATTACTACTTCACCTCAGAACTTGACCAGAAGGAAAAAAAATACACACACACACACACACATATATATCTTTGAAAGCTTAACTTAAAAAAAAAAAAAGGCTATAAACAACCAATAGTTCTAAACACAATGAAAATGGTTTCCATCTAAATACGCAAGGTTTCACCTGAGAAATCAATGGAAGCATTTCTTTCAAAACTATATTCACACTACTAAGTCTGAATGGTGGGAAAGTACAAAGATTCACACTCCACAATTCCATTTTTATGTTAGCTTAAATAATTTTAAAAAGAATAAGCCTTCTTATTTTTAATCAAATTATAGCTTCTCCATCAGAAATTATCCAATTCTTATCTATGTATACTAATCCAAAGCAATTAAAAGCCAACATCTGGGGCCAGCAGGTGGTAAGGTGCTGGATGCCCACACTGCTGACCATGGATCAAGTCCCAGATCCAGTGGTTTGAAACTCATGCTGGGTGGCATGCCCAAAATCCCAGGAGGAGAATGGAGAAAGGACTATGGCATGGCCATCCCTACTAGGAGATGATTTCTCACTTTCTCTCTCTCTGTCTTTCCAGTAAGCACACATGCCCTATGACAAAATAAATAAATAAATAAATAAAGCTGTGCTCCTCCAGACTAAGGCAATAATAAGGAATTAATAGTAAAAAGAAAATTAAATTTCAGAGTTTTCCTTTCCAATTGTGACTGTACTACTATTCCTTCATCCTTTTTCCCCACTCCTTTATATGTAAAAGGATGCAGAATTACTCCACTCAAACTCCTAAATGCCATCCAGTGCTGGCTTCTAAATCAATATGGTTATCTCTATATTACTCACCTGTAAGTAATCTCACGCTAATCTGAGCAACTTGTCTAAAGGTACACATTCACAAGAAACTAAACTATGGTAATTTCACCCACAGTATTTTATTAGAAAATAGTATTTTATCCAAAACACTCTCTATAAGTTATCACATATTTCGAATGTCTTTACTGATTATGATAGACCAAAAAATGACTCTCAGTTATGTCCAAGTCCCAATCCCCAAATCCTGTGTGTGTACCCAATATGGCTAAAGGGAGTTTTCAGGTGCCACTAAATTAAGACCATGGGATGGGAAGATTCTCTTAGGTGACTGTGTGGACCAAATGAAATGACAAGCATCCTTTAAAAAGGAAAAGGGAGGTAGGAATGACTCAGAATGACATGATGGGAGAAGGATTTGACCCACCCTTGATGGCTTTGAAAATGAAAAGAAGGCAGCCACTGGGCAAGAAACGTGGACAACCTCTAGAAGACAGAAGAGGTAAGGGAACGAATTTTCCACTAGAACTCCAGAAAGGAACATAGCCCAATGAGACCCATGTCAGACTTCAGACCAACAAATCTGATACTAGCTATGTGGTCACTTGTTGTTACAGCAAGAAAACTAATACATGAACTGAAACTATTATTCAGCTCAAATGATTTAAAAGCTATTAGTCTGCAATCATTGTTAAACTAACCTGTAAAGTACTTGTTATAGTGTTGACCTTCGAAGTGACATCTATTGTAGGATGACTTCGAATTCCCCTGTGAATTGATCTGGCAGCCCATCGACTCAATCGGTCACGATAGCGGAAGTGGTCTGAATCGCTGGATGATTCTGCCATTGATGTACACAAACCCTTAAAAATAAATCCAGGTCAAAAATTAATCAAACAGGAAAAAGAACAAAAAAAAAAGATTAACAATTTACTTTTTTGATCTTTTTAAGTTAAAAATGTCATTTTATATTAGTTCTTTGGCATGTCATAATTCTATACACTTAGACTGAAAACAAAAGAAGTCACTTCCCCATGTAATTTCCCTTCATTTTTCTGTTTTAAAAAAGCAATTCCGTAAATATAATTTTAGTCATATTGACAACTCTAAATAATAATCCCTTAGACTTGTGCAATGCTTCCAAATTTTAAAAGCACTTTCATGTAGAGTATCTCACTTCCCTAACAACACTGTAAGGTAAATGAGAGAAACACATATACTCTCTAAAATTAGACAGAAAAACAGAAATTCTCTCAATATTTATCTGATGTCTATTATACTGTAATAATGTATATATCCTTAAACATAAAAATACAACATGACCTTCAATAAAAGAATCCCATTCAGTGTACAGTGAAAACTCTCATACACCTTTATTTAAAGTATAGTAGAATTAGGGATCAACAGATGGCACAATGATTACATCGCTGGACTCCCACATAGTTGATGGTGGTTCGAGTCCCAGACCCAACAGTTTAAAACTAACACTGGGTGCACGTGTGTGCATGCTCAAAATCCCAAGAGGAGAATGGAGAACAGATTGTGGTGAGGCCCCTAGGGCAGAGGGGATGATTTCTTGCTTTCTGTCTGTCTGACTCCCCAGCAACACCACCACCTGAGCTCCGCCTTCTGTCAGATCAGCCATGGCATTAAATTCTCATGGGAGTGTGAACTCTATCGTGAACTGTGCATGTGAGGGATCTAGATTGAGCTCCCTATGGTAAGTTGTATAATTATTTCATTATATGTTATAATATAATAATAATAATAGAAATCAAGTGTATAATAAATTTAATGTGCTTGAATCATCTCAAAACCATCTCTGCCCCCCTGGTCTGAGGAAAAATTGTCTTCCTCAAAACTGGTACCTGGTACCAAAAGAGTTGGGAGCCACTGTTCTACAAAAATACATATGTTAGAAGGTGGCATCTTGAACATCTTCACCAAAATAAAAAGACACACATCCTAAGTGTAATTCTTTTAGTAGAAAATTCTCTAAACCTGTTTTACTTCCATCCTTACCTCAAAATTTCTATAAGATGCATAGGAAAATTATTTCATGCAAGAAAATCTCAAAGTTTCAGAAAAACCTTTTTTTTCTTATTTGCCAGAGGGCACAATACAATCACCAGAGAGACCGAGAGCGGGAGAGGGAGAAAGCACCCCTCACTGGGGTAAGATTACAACACAACTCCTTTTCCTCCGTTTCTCCATCCCATCAGAATTTTGGGCATACACACACATGCATCTGTCCTTTTTTTCCAGCTACTGGACCCGGGATTCAAACTACACTCATGCATGTGGGATCCAGCTCCCTTAACCACTAGGCAATGAGGCCAATCCCAGAAAACAATAGAAGTTTAAGAAACTAAAGATATTTCAAACAAAGAATCATCAGAGAAACTCAGTTGATCAAAAATGAAAGCTTATTGACTATCCCAATAATTTTATTTTCTGCTTAACAGAAGATTAGCCTAATCTTTAACATTAAATGTTAAAATCTTCCAGGCCAGCAAGCGGCATAGTGGTTAAGGTGCTGTATCCCACATAGCTGACTCAGTGGTTCAAGTCCCAGACCCAGCAGCTTGAAATGACGTGACAGGCAAATACACAAGCATGCCCAAAATCCCAAGATGAGAATGGAGGAAAAGGGACTGCAGCGTGGCCATCCCCAAGGGAGGGGATTTCTCACTTTTCCTTTCTCTTTGTCTATTTCTGTCTCTCTTCAGCAATCTTGCATATCCTATCACAAAAAAGTCTCTCTTCAGCAATCTTGCATATCCTATCTCAAAAATTAATAATCTTCCTAAAGTCTATATAGCCAGTTTTTTCTAGCTTATTAAATATAGTGTGATGAAACTTTTTTTTTTAATTAACAGCATATCCTGGACTTTCTGAATCTTTATTCTGGGAAGTATATGACTATGTTTTAAGAGAAGATAAAGGGAATTTGCCTAATGTGTATAGATCTGAGAGCACTTACTAAAAGCAATCATGGTTTCTAAAATATTAGATAAAATATAACTAAATAAGTAAATAAACAAATGACCTTTACTGTGAGTGTAAGCTTTTCCAAAATGAAATAATCTGTTCTTCCCTCATCAGAAAAAAATTGAAAAATTAATGCAGTATCGCACTTCTTCACACTACCTAGGCAAGGTGAGAGAACCTCCTGTAAATACTCATGCTTCTCCTCCGCCCAGGCTACTCAGCTTCGCTCTGTGTCTCTCTGGTTCTTGCTTGCCTTTTCCTACATGTAAGGACAGAGGTTGCGGCGCCCAAAACGTAGCTCCTTCTCACATCAGAAAACATGAACGAGAAACTAAGGCTGAAGCCACCATCGGGTTTGGCTTTTCCTAGTTTACAATTGTGCAAGTCCAAAAGAACAAAGTCAAGAAGAAAAGAAATCTTAAATGTAAAGTTCACCTTTTAAAGTTAGGAAATCACTTCTTATAAATCTGTGCCACCTAGCCTAAGAATGAACTTTGGGTGTGCACACACGTACATGTGCCCCTCCAGTTTTTCAAGGCTCTAGGGCCAGGATTCAAACCACAGTCGGCCATGTGAGATCCAGCTCCCAATGCAGTTAACCAGTGGGCTACAGGACTGGCCCTCTATGCTACAGATAATAAAGAGCCCTTAAAGCAAATGCAACCATTGGCCTCAGAGTAAATAAGTTCTATTTTCTTATCCCTATTGTTTCCTATACAGACAGAAAATAATTATACCTGGAATATCTCTCTTTCATATCAAAATTCTAAACCTTAAAGCATCATAATTTTTATTTTGCATGTCATTCTTAGACAGCGGCCATGCTAATCTTCTCTGTAACATTCCAACTTTAGTATATGTGCTGCCAAAGCAAGCACTATTATTGTTATAAGTCCCAATTCTGGAAACCAAATTAAGAAATCAAGTAGAATTAAAAAGGTGATATTGAAAAAGGCAATATGGAGATGAGACTGTGGCATGGTCATCCCTCCTGGAGAGAGGGGGTGATTTCTCATTTTTCCTCTTCTCTCTCTCCAGTAAGCTCACTACCCTATAGCAAACTTAAAAAATAAAATGATAATACAAAGACTAAGAAGCATACATCTACTACTTGAAACTAACGAATAATATGCTGGCATGAACACCTCTAATATTTTTAATAAAATATTTAGAATATTACAAAGTCTTAGAACTCTCCCACCCCACACCCTATGCAGTACTATTTCTGCTCCACCTCCCTAGGGATAACCACTAGCATGTACAACTCTCCAGGATGTGTTTTTATGCTGTTATGACAGGCAGAAGTACTTCAATATCTTTTTTTTAGGAAACATGCATTGCAGTCATCCTATGAACAAGTAAAGGAAAGAAATGGAGTAACTGAAACACAAAAGTTTAGCAACATTAAGTAAAATTAAGAAATGAGTAAAATCTACCAGGTATTTTTTAAGTGTCGAAAAAAAAAATCTCTCACTTACCCCCACTAGGATTACATACTTTTAATAAGATAGAATCACACTTTCCAGCATGAGTTTCACTAGTACACACACACACACACAAGTCTTCAGCTACTAATTTCGATCACTTTGAGCAATAAAAGATGTTCAAACTCTTGCGTCTGATGGAACTCCTGCAGAGATATCAAGACTTAAGATGAGATATAGTTGAGAAATGTACATATTATATGAAACATTCAGCAACCATCTAAGGATTTTAATTGCATAAATTTCATAAATGTCACACTAAGAAAAATTAAAGAATCTGATTATAATTTAAAAATTAAGTTATTTTCATTGTTGATAAAAACGTAGCACTTTCTTCAATCACTACGGACAATTCAAAAGGTCAAACATGACTCCCACACCTAAGTGAGAGAGCATCCGACCCTGAGTGCCACAAGACAGAAGGTAGCTGTGGTGGCAGAGTTCTATCCTTACCAGAAGACTCTGGTCTATCCTCAGCCAACACCATTAGTCACAGACAGAGCTGATGGGGGGAGAGAGAAACAGATGAGATGGAGTGACCGCTAGATGTGGCAAGAGGCTCAAACCACATAATCAGAAAACAGGGTAGAATGTACGAAGGGTGAAGAAAATAGTTCCTGAGAACCCTTTAATATATAGCAATCAAAAAAGCACAAAACAGTATCAATTATATACTTTTCATTCATCATTAACAATGTATTATTTATAGTAAAATTTAAAGTTATAGTCAGGCACTACATAATGTTTTGGTCAACGACATAGTGCATACATAGCAGTGGTCCAATAAAATTCTCTAGAGACTGTGGCAAAGTGCTAATGTACTGTTCAACAGAAGATGAATCTCACATTGCAACTGCAGTTCAAATCCTTGGTCTGGTCAATCTGATGATGGGCACAAATGCCCAAAATCCGACTGGAGGACTAAAGGGAAGAGACCCCTGACCAGACCTGTGGAGGGTGGGCGTCCCTTCTTCCTCCCCTCGCCCTCCCTATTTCCCTCTCCCTTTCTCTCTCACACGTATGTACTCTATCATGAATTTTAAAATACTTAAAAATAAAAATTAGAAATACCTCTAGAATCCACACTCAACATTTTTTTTTACCCCAACCAGGTGAAAAAAAAACTCTTACCTGACAGGAAGTACACTGGTGCAGCAAAAAGGCCACAATTCAAACAAAAGAGCCGGCTACTAAGACAGATCTCCCCTCCTAAATATTCATGACCAGACCCCACAATAAAAGCAACACAGCCCTATTCCCAGTGCAGCTGTCCTCCTCTGACAGCTGCCCACCCACACACCTTTCTGGCAAGGGATGCTCTTTTTTTTTTTCAGTTACAAATTTTCACTTTTCTGGAAAAAAAAGGTGGCATAGAGGTTAAGGAGGCTGGATTTCACATGGTCGACTGCATGGTTCAAGTCCTGGACCCTTTAGCTTGAAAATCATGCTGAGAGCATGTGCATGAGTACTCAGAATCCTGAGAGAATAGATGAAGAGGGATGAGAAGGGCGACAGCAAGGACATTCCCTCTGGGGGTGATTTCTTTCTCTCTCTCACTCTCTCTCTCTCTGGCAAGCACACACACCCTATAGCAAAAAAAAAAAAAAAAAGAGGATTACATGGACCTAAAAAAATGCCTATTTCTGGGGCCATATGGTGGTGCAAAAGTAAAGCATGATGCTGTGTGGGATAATCATCCCACATGAGACAGTTCCAAGTTCAAGTCTAGATAGAGACCTCCCTGAGTTCTCTAGGCATGTATGTGCCCATGATCCAGAGCTGGCTGAAGCTGGGAATGGATCATGGCTGCAGGACCCTCTTGACAATGCTGTATCTGTCTGTCTGTCTGTCTGTCTGTCCCATTCATGGTGGGAGGGAGTTTAATTTTTTTTAATTCCAGGACCAGCAGATTGCATGATGGTTATGTTGTTGGACTCCCACATAGTCAGCTGCAGTTCAAGTCCCAGACCCAGCAGCTTCAAACTCACACCAGGCGCATGTGCATACATGCCTAAGATCCGAAGAGGAGAGTGGAGGAAAAAGGATTGCAACATGCCCATCCCCTTGAGGGATGATTTCTCGCTTTCTGTCTGTCTCTGGCGAGTGCACATGACCTATAGCAAAAATCTCTCTAAAAAAAAGAAAAAGTAATTCCTCTTACCTAGTGACACCATAACTATCAAAATGTTGTCACATAATGCATTACTCACAAGCTGTGGTAATGCTGGTGTAAACAAGTCTATTTTGTTCCCCACTCATAGCACACACAGTTACATACAGTACACAATACTTGATAATGATAATAAACCTGTTACTTATGTATTTACAGTACCATACTTTTTAATCATCATTTTAGACTGTACTCCCACTTATAAAAAGAAAAAGCAGTAAGTTGTGTCTTGGGAGCAGTAGCTTCATACGTCCTGTGTTTACCATATCTCTTGATTGCATCTTCTCATGCTTGATTTAATCACACGTTGTTTTGTTCATCATGGCCCTTACAGCTAGATAAGATGTGGAGGTGGAATCCAGTGATACTGAGGATCCTGACTCTATGTAGGCCTAGGATAATGCGTGTGTCTGTACAAAGATGTTTATAGGATAAAGACACAAAGAAAGAAAATATTTTCATACAGCTGTGCAATGGATGTTTTAAGTCCCATGTTACTATAAAGGAGTGAAAATATTTTAAAAATTAAAGCCTGTATAGTGTTAAAAAGTTATAGTAAGCTAAGGATACTTTATTAACACATTTTTTTCTTATTTTAGTGTAGCCTAAGTATACAGTGTTTGTAAGTCTACCGCAGTGTGATACTCTAGGCCTTCACATTCACACCCCCTCACTCACTGACTCACCCACTTCCAGTTCTGCAAACTCTATTCATGATTAATGCCCTATATATGTGTATCATTTCTAGCTTTTATTCTGTATTTGTACAGTCTACTTTTTCTATGTTTAGATACATCAGATATATAATATTTACCATTGTGTTACAACTGCCTAGAGAATTCAGCATAGTAACATGTTTCACAGGTTGTAGCCTAAAAGCAACGGGCTAGATGGGCAGTAGACTATACCATCTAGTATTACGTATTGCATTCTGTGATGTTCACATAAGGAAAACACCTAATGACTCACTTCTCAGAACATATTCCTGTTCTTAAGTGACACATGACTGCAATTTTTAAAAGCATGGTATATCCTTATATCATCGGCATTAATAGAAATCGACTGGGCCTCTGACAATCTTCTCCCTAATGAAACTGTACCTCACATATTTTTTTTTTTGCCCTGTTGATATAAGCATACTGAGTCGTCCCACAAGAAAATATGCGTGACCCTGAAAAAAATGTTCAGTCTAATAAGCTAAGAAGTGTAAATTAAATGAGGCACCTTTCTAACCTACTGCCTTTTTTTTTTTTTTTTTAAATAAAAATGCTTATGGTTAGCTAGGTTATCAGGGAAAGAAGACTCCTACTTTCCTAAAGGGAAGGAGCAAATTCACAAAACTAGTCTGGATATCAGCAGGTAATATTTGTCAAGAATGGTTTGTACTGCTAATCTAGTAGTTATATACCTTTAAAAATTTCCCCTAACAATATCATCTGGTATACATACAGAAATGTATAAATAAATTTATACACATAACTGTGAAGTTATAATAGAGGGAAAATAAAAACAACTTAAATTTCAAAATACAGGAGAATATTAAAAATATAGTTCATAACCATGTAACATGAAATATTACAGTAGTAAAAATTCCCTTTCTGAAGAACATCTAATGGTAAAGCAAAGGATCAACGTATGAAGTCCAGTTCTAATATGCTATCTACATGTGTAGACACAAGTACATAAACGTAAAGGCAGGGATAAAATGGGAGGAAAACTCAATATTTATCATACAGCATTAATAGCTGATTTATTTTTTAAACATTCCTATCTTCCATGAATTTACTATGATGAAATTTGTAATAATATACAATCGGAAGGAAAATATACTATAAAATATATTCCAAAGAAAGAAAAATATAATAGAAAACTTTAGAGCTAATAAGCTGAAAACACATTAGCAGAAAATTAATTTAAAAACAAGCTGTACATTCAGAATTCCTTTTTTCTTGGTACCTTTTTCCTTTTCCTCCCCGGCAATTTCTTGACCTTATGTCCTAGTCTCTCAGCAGCTGTGGAGACAGGATCATTACCACTAGTTCTCACCAAGTGATGAGCTGAAGAAACAGAATCGCAAACCCAGGCTCTACTGGTTCATACTGAAAAATACTGGCTGGCCAAAGACACTATTCATCTTGAGTTTATTAGCTAAACGAAGATTTTTTTTATTGTGTAATCATTCTCTCTTTGTAGCTTTACTGAAGACCAGTAATAGACTCAAAAACTGACTCCTGTGAAAAACAATCTAAATACTGGAATGAACTTAAAAGTGAAAGGACTATGTACAAATATATTAATGTATACTGGCATCACTATACAATCAAATTATACTTTGGAAAACAAATTAAAAATGTTTCAGAGGTAGGACCAGCAGATGGCATAATGGTTAACATTGCTGGATTCTCATATAGTCAACAGTGGTTCAAGTCCCAGACCCAGAGGCTTAAAATTCATGGCAGGTGCATGTACATGTGTGCCCAAAATCCCAAGAAGAATGGAGAAGGGACTGCAGCATGGCCAATCCCCAGGGGGGATGATTTCTCACTTTCTGTCTCTAGGTCTCCCTGTCTCTCCAGCAAGCGCACACGCCCTATAGCAAAACTCTCTCTAAAAGGGAGCTGGCAGGTATGATGGTTAAGGGCACTGGACTCCCACATGATCAAACAAGGATCAAGTCCCAGACCTGAGGGCTTGCTTTCTTCTTTCCCTTTCCCCCTTCGCTCTGTCCCTCTCTGGTCACAATAAAATAAATAAAGTTGAATGAAATCATTCTTTAAACTAAAAACTCTTAAAAAATAAATAAAAATGTTTCAGAGGGCAAGGGACCACGGTGTGGCCATTCATCATGTGAGATGCTTTCTCATTTTCCCTCTTTCTGACTCTGTCTCTCTCTAACAAGAATACATACTCTCTAGAAAATTATTTTTAAACTTTCACAAGTAACATTTAATTACTATTATAATTTTAAATTCAAAG